GGGGAAGTCTTACAACCGTGTTGTATTTTTCTATTTTTTTATATAACATGCTTCCATGTTGTTCCATATTATTCCTGTAATGATGTGTTATATTTACTATTATATAATCTAGTCACCTTACCCTGTGCTGTTAAGGTTTTAACTGATATTATTTGTTCAAGCCCATCTTATTTCTTCATTTGGTATTGTAACAAGCATTCTTTGTTTCTCTAACGACCATCTGCATCGTTAAACGACCCATGTTTCACCGGCTGGTCTCATTGGCCGGAGCTGACCCTATATATAATAGGAACCAGTACATGGAGCTCAGTCCAGTCCTCTTGTCATTCAGTTCACGTTCTTTTGAGTGACACTCGTCACCTGTTACTTATACTTAAATTTATTCCTGTGTTGTTCCTGTCTCCACCAATGTGGTATATCTATGTGAGTACCTATTCATGTCTCTTATGTGTCCATCAGTGCTTGCATAGTTACATTTAAGTAATTCAGTGTTGTTTCATGATAGTTAATTTCAGTGTTAGTTATTTTATGTTCATGCAGTGTTAACGTAATCCAATGCTTTATTTTTATTCTTTTGATGTTTCGATTTTTTTAGTATCATTTATGTCTTAAAGGTTTCGACAGTGAATCAATTTGTTGTGACAGCCTATGAGGTTCTTTATTGTGTTGGTACTTTATTTAAATAAATTCTTAAAGGTTTACTTTATTTATTTTTATTCCCTTTTGATTTACTTCACTTTTCTTTTTGTTTGGTTACGCCTAGAACCTGGATATTAAAGTAAATTAAGAGATGGCGTAACAATATATTTATATATATATATATATATATATATATATATATATATATATATATATATATATATATATATATATATATATACAGTATATACACAAGCAGAATCGCATCCGCTAGGCCACGGTAGGACGCCACCCTCCGGGAAGCTCCACATTGTCTCACTGTTCAGTCCCCAAAACTTCTTCATCATCTATAGTTCATTAACGGTGTATGTAAGTTTCACCATGTTTTTCACTACAACGGTACAGCAAAGTATATTTTTTTAACATTAAAATATTATTATTTTATTGTCTAATCATCACTACATATAACACCACCCATCATCACTACATATAACATCATCCATCATCACTACATATAACACCATTCATCATCATTATATATACCACCATCCATCATCATTACATATAACACCATCCATCATCACTACATATAACACCACCCATCATCACTACATATAATATAATCCATCATCACTACATATAACATCATCCATCATCACTACATATAACACCATCCATCATCATTACATATAACACCATCCATCATCATTACATATAACACCATCCATCATCACTACATATAACACCACCCATCATCACTACATATAATAAAATCCATCACTACATATAACACCATCCATCATCACGGCATATAGCACCACCACGACTACCATCACTACTACCACCATCTTCACTACCACCACTACTACCACCATCATCATTACCACCACCATCACTACCACTGCTATCAACCAGTCTCTACCACTACCACTATCACCACAAACATGCCACTATCACCATCACCACCACTACCACTACCACCGTCGCCACCACCACTACATATAACACCATTCATCATCACTACATATAACACCATCCATCATCACTACATATAACACCACCCATCATCACAACATAACAACATCCATCATCACTACATATAACATCATCCATCATCACTACATATAACACCATCCATCATCACTACAGATCGGTAAAGTAGTTCCGAAATTCTCGTGCGGACACACAAACAAAAACACACACACAAACAAACAGACGTATTTCTTTGTTTTATATAGATAGATAGCAGAATCGCCGCCCTCTGGGCGGCTCATCCGCTAGGCCACGGTAGGACGCCACCCTCCGGGAGGCTCCACATTGTCTCACTGTTTAGTCCCCAAAACTTCTTCTTCATCAAAAGTTCATTAACGGTGTATGTAAGTTCCACCATGTTTTTCACTACAACGGTACAGCAAAGTATATTTTTTTAGCATTAAAATGTTATTATTTTATTGTCTAATCATCAATACATATAACACCATCCATCATCACTACATATAACACCACCCATCATCACTACATATAACACCATCCATCATCACTACATATAACACCATCCATCATCACTACATATAACACCACCCATCATCACTACATATAACAACATCCATCATCACTACATATAACACCATCCATCATCACTACATATAACACCACCCATCATCACTACATATAACAACACCCATCATCACTACATATAACACCATCCATTATCACTACATATAACAACATCTATCACTACATATAGCACCACCATCACTACCATCACTACTACCACCATCATCACTACCACCAATACTACCACCATCATCATTACCACCACCATCATTACCACTACTATCAAGCAGTCTCTACCACCACGGCTATCACCACAAACATGCCGCTATCACCACAAACATGCCGCTATCACCATTACCACCAGTGTAGGTCCCGCCTCCAAGAGGAAAAAAGGAAAACAAATCGAGAGATATGAGAAAGCCTCCCAGCCACGGCACGTCAAGTCCTCCAAACAGGGCACCACAGTAGGTGTGCATGTATCACACCCCCGTAGGGCACCAGTCATTGGGCTCCAGTAACGTACTCGTTCGAGGAGAAGTCAAGCTCAGTCCAAGAAGAACTGACATTTTGTTGGTTGACAGAATCAGGCGAAACTGCTGAGTGTTGTTTCCAGAGGTGGTTTGGTAAAGTGAGCAGCTCTTTTGGCTTTGGAGTCATGAGTTATGAGGTGAAAGAAGATTATTAGGGATTGAAGAAAAGTGGTGAAATTGAAATACAGTAAGAGTAGAAAGAATCTGGGCTCAACCAGATCGCTTCATCTTTTTTTTTTTATCTTTGTTTTGCTACCTTGTGGCGACAGACCTTTATATTAGTATTGGTTTATGTACATAGTGCTGCTTATTATAATTTTTACTCATTTTATTTTATTTTATTATTATCTTTTTTATGTAGTGATGCTCACTCAGTCCCGGCATGAGCAGCTCCGGGACTGAGAGAGGCTTATATACAAAGGGTGACCTTACAAAACATCAGGTCAGGTCAATAACATGGGATCCACAAATTCACACCTTACTAGTCAGTAGCGATCCCTGGTCACACGCAGAGGTCCAGGGTTCGATTCTCGACTAGTGAGGTATTACAGTATTTGTATGTGGAAGTCCGCGTGCTATATGGAATGATGATTTTTTTTTTACGGGGATTAGCCCACCCAGGCACAGGTCACTGACCCACATCGGGTCCTGGGGGGCGAATATGTAATAATAATAATAATAATAATAATAATAATAATAATAATAATAATAATAATAATTCATAGTAAATAAAAATTATACAATAATAAAAATACAAAATTAAAAATAAAATAACAAAGATAACAATAATAATAATAATAATAAAGAACTATAAAGAAATACAAAAATTAAAATAATAATCAAGAGTGAGAAACGATATATGTATGTTGTGTTGTCAAAGTAAGAGAAACAATTTTTGTGATGCCATATGGCAGCAGGGTCTACCATTAGACAACACATTATGCTTCCAATATCTTCCCAGGCGGTAGTACCTACCTGTTTGATAGCTGCCTACTACCTACTGCCTGTCACATATATATATGTAACCTCGTGTTTCCTAGCTGGATTCGGTCACATGCTACTCCGACCAGATAGTTGGCACGGGCAATTGGTAATTTCATTGTCTGTGTAGTTTTAGTTTATCAAATTTATTGGCAAAGCTTGTAGTACAGTTTGCCTATTCTGAGTAATTCAGTCAGGTCTTGACACTTCTCACTGCCACGCAGGACAGAAGTTCATACACAAAGAAATACATCATATTCATTAACAGCTATAAATGTACAGAGGTCAGATTCATGTGGGTAATGTCACTGTTCACTGCCATGCAGGACAGAGGTTCGTACACAAAGAGATGCATCATATTCATTGACAGTACATATACATATATGTACACACACATACACATATACATACATATACATATATACATAGACATATACATATGCATATATATATACACATTACACATACATACATACATACACATATACACACATACATACATATACGTCGGTCAGATTCATGTGGGTAATGTCACTCTTCACTGCCATACAGGACAGAGGTTCGTACACAAAGAATGCATCATATTCGTTGACACTATATATAGGTCAGATTCATGTGGATAATGCCACTGTTCACTGCCATGCAGGACAGAGGTTCGAACACAAAGAAGGAAATACATCATATTCATTAGCAGTATATATAGGTCAGTGGATCACATACAGTGTGGGCTAGCAAATTTGGGATAAACAGCAAGAATGTCCTCAAGCACACCTGATTCAATGAAGTAATTACATAGTTCAAGATACAATAAGTCAGGTGGCCTGAAGTCTTTGACAGTGTCACATTCAATAATATAGTGTTCAAGTGTATGCTTTAGAGGCTTATCACAAAGTTTACATGCTGAGTGTACCGGTATGGGTACAGCGTTACTAACTTGCCAGATGTGTCTGTATCCTAGTCTAATTCTGGCCACGACTACATCACATTGTCTGGTTCTGTCCTTATGCTGGCCATACCGGTTCCTCTTGTCACAAAATTTGTTATATTTACTAATGCTGCAACTGTCAGGTCTCTCTGCATTTCTCAATTCTTCTAGATCAGAGTTCATGATTCTGACTTGAATGTTTTTAATTACAGCATTGGACAGACCAAGGTCACGGTCAACATTTTCTTTCTTACATGCCTCATTGGCCAGTCTATCGGCACGGTCATGATACCTGATTCCAACATGGGACGGAATAGGGCTGAGGAGCCGCGAGGGGTTGGCAACACTGCCAGGCAGTGCTGACTTGGCAGTGATGATTTGGCTTTTAGTCTGCTGTCAGGTGTTAAGGAAGTCGAGCCGGACCGTGTCTTCAACGTCTTCATAATTCACAACTGCTGTGTCAAGCAGCGTGCAGGTTTAGTTATTATTATTAGTAGTAGCAGTATTATTATTATTATTGTTGTTGTTTTTGCTGCTGCTGTTGTTTTTATATTAATATTGATATTGACATTGAAATTGAAACAGTTTGTTTAACCAGAAAAATACAGGTACAGAATGGATAATATTAACAATGTTGATATGGATGAGCCAGTTGAGAGCCTGAGCTCAGTGGCACCTGATATATACAGTACGTTTATCTCAAGGAAGTATTATGTGACATTTAATATCATTTGGAATAGTACCCGTAACATGGTGTTAGTAAGAACGTATGAGAATGTTACCATGATTATCTCTTCGTTATTTATATATTTATTTTGTTTTAATATATATATTATTTTACATCTATATTATAAGTATATACATATTTTAAAGTGGAGTTGATATACATTAATCTGATAAGTGAGGGAAGCAATACAACATGGGTTGTATTAAGGTGAAACACAGGGACAGACACAGTCTGGTAATTGTTATCTATCCACGTGACAATATAATGATATAATGATCTTGGTGGTACAAAGAATGTAAGAGCATAAAGTAAGAGTTGTAAAAATATAAATATTTAGACAAAATATATTTCTTAAGAGATGATTTAAAGGAAGGGAGCATAGTCCTTGCTTGGATGGGTGGGGGTATGTTCCGAATCCAGGAAAAAAGTCACAAAAAAAGGGCGCAGAAAAACCTAACCTAACCTAACCTACATGCAATACTATTATATATATATATATATATATATATATATATATATATATATATATATATATATATATATATATATATATATATATATATATATATATATATATGTGTGTAACCGGTCGGAATTTACTGGACTTTATTTTCTCACTTGACTTGGGGTTTATTAAAGATTATAAGATGGTAATGGCAGTGGAAGCGCCCCTTGAGAAAAATCCCGAACCAGCACAAGAACACTTAAATCTACTAAACAAAATGAATTGTCCGTGACCCGTGGAAGGATAGCGTCTGTGACTGGGATGAATGAGACACACTGTAAAATTTAGACACTTATATTCCCTCCAACACTACAAACACAATCAAATAATGGTACACCAATATGCGCACTTCTTAACTTAAACTTAAAACACTACTCTGGGGAATAAAAGTTATACGTGATATAGAAATTATTAGAAACTCAGGCAACAATAAATTTGAAGTATTAAGAAATGTTGCTTGCACACATGAAACAGGCCTTAAAGGCTTTCAACAAAATAATATCCAACACTGAGAAAATGGTATTAAAAAATAAGAAATTAATAACTCCACAATGAATAGGCCTTAAGGGCACTCAATATAATACCAGTCACTAAGGAAATGGTATTAAAAAATAAGAAATTAATAACTCCACAATGACTAGGCCTTAAGGGCTTTCAACAACATAATATCAGTCACTGAGGAAATGGTAATAAAAAATAAGAAATTAAATACTCTACAATGAATAGGCCGTAAGGGCACTCAACAAAATTATATCACCCCAACAGATGCACACTTCCTAACCTAACTTAAACACTACTCTGGGGAACAAAGGTTATACCTGAGATCGGAATTATAAAGAAAAATTAAATGCATTAAAAGAATCAAATCACAGTATCACTCTGGTTCCACTTAGTGACACAAACATTCAAAAACAATACTATCAAAATTGTTTAAGAAATATTAAACTACACACGTCACGATAATATCAGTAACTGAGAAATGGTATCAACTACACCCAAATATATTGTCACTATTATTGGTTTGTTACTGGGTCCACCAATACCCGTGAACCATGCTCCACCCAACTCAACATACACCCGTAATAAGGGGGATAAAATGTTCCTCTAGGTATCCCCTAGACTCATGGCCTCAGTGTGCGACCCTGTATCACTCAGCTGGCCTCACTTTACCCCCAGTACATCCATAAAGCGGAAGGGAGTGAGCCAATCAGACCTTGTACAGTTGAGAGAAGCTTTAGCTTCCCGTTAGCAAGAGGGTTTCACTAAGCTGCTCCAGACATGTGGGGTTGTGAGCCGAGGTAGAGGAGAGCTGATGCCCCAACGATCGTCCCGTCGTCAGCTGGGCACCCAGACGGCTAGATTCCCTCAAGAGATCCTTTGATACCCCGCTAAACAGTGACAGGCCTACACTGATCGGTCCAATGGCGACAATCGCCACCCTCAATCATCAACGGCAGTCTCAAACGGCAGTCAATCTCTCTCAGTCAAACTCCGGTCAACTCCGGTCAAGTGGGTTCTGACGGAAACCCTGAAATGAACTCATTGTTAGCTCTAGTTTACTTTACCACTGCCCTATCTAACCCTGTCTGAGATCGAATGAGACTTACTTGTTATACTGCAATAGCGTAGCACAGGTGACTAGGCCACGTGACTATTTCTGTGACGGACGCGCAGGGACGTCTTGTTTGTCTGAATGCTCCCCGTGACTGAGGACCAGCCAGCGTCGCGTCTCCTCTCAAGGCGTTAGCTTAGGCCTACGTGACATATTTTCCGCCTAACTAATAACTCCTTGGGACACCCGTGACATTATTCAGACTGATAAACGATCTATAATAATTTCAAATTCAATAATAGTCCCTTAACTTCATGAATCGCATCATTATTAATTCGGCAAATTACATTTAATATCACTTAGGCCTAGTTCCACAACCTCTCGCTATGGGCGGGGAGCGCTCTCTTCCCTCAGACGACCTTGAACGCTCAGTATCGCTAATGGCGGGGCATTTGAAATTTCTGAATATTACATATATATATATATATATATATATATATATATATATATATATATATATATATATATATATATATATATATATATATATATATATATATATATATATTTATATATATATATATATATATTTATTTATTGTGTTGTCAATGTGTACAATTCATGTGAATTTTTTCTCTGTGACTTTATTTCCGTTCACCGTTGTTCCACACCTTCACACCATGATATTTTATGGAGGTCTTGGACTGAGAGGAGCGCATCTGGCGTGGTCTCAGTAGCAGTGGGTGTCTTAGGATGTATCTCTGATTATTCCGGAACTGGAAATAATTATTGTCAATCAATTGATTGATAGATTTATATAGAAGTAAGGCACTGCAGTAGGTGTTAATATCTTCGAATTTTAAAATTTTCAATTTAGCTGATTGTTCGTTAGTCTGATCATTGTTTTTTCAAGTAGGTCATTGTCCACACGACACTCTTCTGTGCAGTGATCAGGGGTTGTGTTTTTGTGGAGCCAGATGTCTTAGCTGTGGTAGGATGTCAAACTATCTCACTTTTTAACACTTGCCTGAATGAACATAAGAACATAGGAACATAAGAATGGAGGAAACTGCAGCGGGACTATTGACCCACACTGGGCAGTCCCGTTTATACCGAACCCCTATTGCTCATATAAGCATCCAACCTATGTTTGAAGCTATCCAGCGTATTCGAGTTAATGATGATATTTGGTAACTTGTTCCATTGATCCACTACTCTGTTTCCAAACCAGTGTTTTTCTATTTCACGCCTAAATCTAAATTTGTCTAATTTAAAACCATTGTTACGAGTTCGCTCCTTGTTGGATAGCTTGAGTAACTTTGTAATGTCCACTTTGTTTAACCCTGACTTCCATTTATACACCTCTATCATGTCGCCTCTCACTCTACGTCTCTCTAGGGAGTGCAAATTAAGATGCTTTAACCTGTCTCTGTATTCAAGGTTCCTAATGCCCTGGATTAGTCTTGTCATTCTCCTCTGGATTCTTTCCAATGATTCTATATCCATTCTGTAATACGGTGACCAGAACTAAACTGCGTAATCCAGGTGAGGTCTCAGAAGCACTAGATATAATTTTAAGATGACCTTGCAAGTCTTGTAACTAACACTCCTTTGTATGAACCCAAGTACTTTATTAGCCTTGTTACGAGCAAAAACACATTGTTTATTTGGCTTAAGATTCCTACTTATCATTACTCCTAAATCTCTCTCGCAGTTGGATTCCACAATGGCATCGTTGTTCACCTGGTAACTGGTTTCCCTGTTTGCATCTCCTATACTGAGTACTTTACATTTGTCCACATTGAATTTCATCTGCCATTTTTCCGACCATTCGAAAAATTTGTTTAGATCTTCCTGTAGTTTTGTAGAGTCCTCGTCAGATTTAATTACACGTCCTATTTTAGTGTCATCAGCAAATTTACTTATGTTACTGTCTATGCCGATATCTATGTGGTTTATATATATAATAAATAATAGTGGTCCAAGTACTGAGCCTTGGGGAACTCCACTAGTGACGTTGCTCCAATGCGATTTAGTGCCGTTTATGCTCACTCGCTGTTTCCTGTCCCGTAAAACGCCCTAATCCATTTATGGATATTACCTTTGATGCCATGCGCTTCTACCTTTCTAATTAGTCTTTCGTGGGGGACTCTGTCGAAGGCTTTGCTAAAGTCGAGATATACCACATCATAATTGTGCCCCTCGTCCACCGATTCGAAAACTGATGAAAAGAATGTTAAAAGATTAGTTAGACATGAACGCCCGCTTGTGAAGCCATGTTGGGAATCATTGATCAACTTGTGCTTCTCCAGGTGGTTTCGAATAGAGTTTGAAATAATTGATTCTAGTAATTTACCTACTATTGATGTTAGACTGATTGGGCGGTAGTTAGAGGATAGTGATCTATCCCCCTTCTTGAAAATCGGTATTACATTCGCTATCCTCCAGGATTCTGGTAATACACCTGTTTTTAATGACATGTTAAACAACTTTGCTAAGGGCATACTAAGCTCATCCTTACATTCCTTTATTACTCTGGCAAATATCTCATCGGGACCAGGTGACTTGAGTGTAGGTTCATCGATGGTACCTTTGAGGCAGCTGAGTGAGATATCAGGTAGTCTCACGGCATGTCACCATTGATACACTTGTAGATTGGTTGATAGTTGAAATCGCCACAGCTGTTCTGGG